AATTAATTATCTAAAAGTTATAAAATAAGTGCTTTTAATTTTTATTTTTTAATTATTAATTTTTAACTTATAATAAACTACATCAAACATGTTAGTGACAAGACAACACCCTCTTAAGCCTCCCTTTGAGGAAGTAGACAAGACCCTTTTTAAGCCTCCCCTTTAGGGGGTGTATGCTGTGCAATTCGGTACGATTTTAGAGTAAAATAAAAAATTGCACAACGGATGACAGATTAATAAAATTGTCATTAGAAATTGTCATTTTTTTTATTAAAAGTAGGCGATTTTGTTGGTAAATAATGACGGTTTCAACTTGACGGTTTATAAAAAAACTAAAGCATAATTCAAATTACAAAACTTGAATCAAAGAGTAAAAAAAATCTTATTTGAGTAAAATAGTCAAATGGAATAAGTTAAATGGATTGTTTCTATGATGTTCTATATATATCACTGCATATATCTTCGAACAAATCATTATACTCAACAAATCTAGTAAGAAAAAACCCTTGCTCATACTGGTTTTTATCCTCGTTCAGAAAATACAATTTTTACCCATTTCATTTTCTTTATCCACAAATCTAATATCTAAACACAATTCTTATCAATACAAAATAATTATTATTTTACAATTTTATTTCTCTCTAAACACAATTTTGTTTTGTATTTTTATTAGTTTACAATTCAACAACACTACAAACTTAGATTCTTTAATCGGAAGTTTCATGGAACAGTGAAGGCAACATAAATGGAAAAATCTGTTCTTTTAACCATCATTTATTGTACAAATCCCTCATCATCTCATTCTCATTCACATCCAGAAAGTGGAGAGAGAGATTGGGAAAAGATAAACTAGAGAGAGAACAAAGAGAAAACATAAACCAAAAAGAGAGCATAAAGAGAGCCACACACCAAATCGGGAAAAGCAGTAGTGGCGAGTGGAGAAGCAGCGTCGGAAAGGCCAATAGCGGCAACTAGCAAGAGCAGCGGCAGTGCCGATCAGTAAGGAAAAGAGGAGGAGCAAGAGGGGAGACAAAGCAATCGATAAATGAGATGAGCTAGAGTACCAACCACGTATATGTGAGAGACGAGGTGAATGGCGACAGAGATGAGACAATCGGTGGCAATTGCCGACAGAAGTGAGTCGATCGGTGGCCATCGGTAGTAGAGGCGAGATGTAAAAGGCAAGGTGTAAAAGACGAGATGGAGAGGTGCTTGAAACCCTAAAAAGAAATTGACCAGCTCTTTCTCCCTCTTTCTATTAAAGCAATTTCATGAGCTTATATATACATACGCGGTGCGGGTCAGTTTGGTCGGCGGGTTGGAGTTTTGAAACCGCCATTCGTGCTACCTGCCAAGCCTAGAGCCTCCACTTGTCCAACCTGCCTGCCAAAACTGAAAAAATGGACGGTTCAGCGCGATTCGGTGTGATTTTGGCAATTTTGACGGTATTGTGCACATCTCTACTCCCCTTAACCTAAGAAGGTGTTCACCATTTGGTTTTCCTTCACAACCCTCCATACAATTATGTACACTAGGGATCAGCAACGGTTTATCCGAACCGCTCAAACCGTCCAACCCACCCAACCCGCATATAAATGGACGGTTTCGCAAACATAATGCGGACGGATGCGATTTGAAATATGACAAATTTGCGGTTTGCGGGCGGGTTGCTGGTTAAACTCGTAATCCGCAAAAATCGCCCGCACTTTAATTATTATTATTATTATTATTATTATTTTTTTATATACCAACTTTGTAACTTTAACAGGAGCACCATTATATTCTCTATGACACTAGGATCCTTATTTTTAAGTATTTATCAACTTTCTTAATGCCGTAGAATTATCAAGTTCTAAACTTGATTTCTTATATGATTTTCATTGGTGATTCATCCACTTTTTCCTAATAAAATTTTTCTTCTAGTGATCGATGAAACTTCTAGTTTGATTATTAATTACTGAACTAGCAATTCTAATTTAGTACAACCTTTAATGCATTGATATACATTTTTTTCATAGCAAGAATGCTAGTGTAGGGTCTCTTTGTTTTGGGTACTTTCATTTAATGCATTGATATTCAATTTTTATTTGTAAACTCATCAGAAAATTGTTGTCAAATGATCACAAATATATAAAATGAATCTGATGCCTATATTCGATGGGGAAAAAAGAACTCAAAAATTAATTTTTAAAGAAAAAAGTGTAAACGCAAACCGCCCACAACCGCTCGCACATCTGCAAACCCTATCCGCACAAACCGCAAACCGCACTGCGGGCGGTTGCGGGTTGACTTTTCTCCAAACAGCATAGATGCGTGCGGGTCAAAACCGAACTGCAAACCGCACAAAACCGATCCGCGAACACCCCTAATGCGCACCTTTTGGTTATACACCTTGTTCTATTTTTTTCTTACTGGTACTCTGCATCATTTATAAGGGTGTAAATTTGACATGGCTCGACCCACGTCAGGCCTCGCAGGTTCCTATCAAAATTCAGGCTAGGCCGGGCCAACCAACGGGCCAAAAAATTAGGCCCAGGACTAGGGGATATTCGGGCCTTAGGTAGGTTGGGCCTGGGCGGGTCTGAACATTTTTTTATTTTATTTTTTCTACCAAAATTTTATTATTTTCTACTAAAAAAAGACACTAGGCCTTGGGCGGATTGAGCCTTAAGCAGGCCGATGAGTCGGGCCCACGGGCCAAGCCGGGCTTCAAAATGATGGCTCAGACTCAGGGTCTGGAACTGGGCTCGAGTTTGGCTCCAAATGAGTCGGGCCCACCCCAGACAGCTCATGGATCGCGAGCCATTTTTATACTCTTAATTGTCTACACCTTTTCTAAAGCAAGTATGTGGGGTTGTTTGGCTATTAACTTTTTTTTAGTGATTTTAATATTTTTTTATAAAAAAAAAGGAAAAAAAATAAAAAGAATAAATTAACTTTTTGTAGTAAAAATTTGACTTTTTTTACTAATTTGTTAAGTTGCCCAACCACCCCAAAATAAAGAATAAATTACAATGACCTCTTCCTCTGTTGTATGAAAAAATTACAGACAATCCCATATTATTGACATATGATTACACCCTCTTAGATTCAACCTTGCTAGGCCGGGCCAACCAACGGGCCAAAAAATTAGGCCCAGGACTAGGGGGTATTCGGGCCTTAGGTAGGTTGGGCCTGGGCGGGTCTGAACATTTTTTTTATTTTATTTTTTCTACCAAAATTTTATTATTTTTTACTAAAAAAAGACACTAGGCCTTGGGCGGATTGAGCCTTAAGCAGGCCGATGAGTCGGGCCCACGGGCCAAGCCGGACTTCAAAATGATGGCTCAGACTCAGGGTCTCGAACTGGGCTCGAGTTTGGCTCCAAATGAATCGGGCCCACCCCAAACCGCTCATGGGTCGCGAGCCATTTTTATACTCTTAATTGTCTACACCTTTTCTAAAGCAAGTATGTAGAGTCGTTTGGCTATTAACTTTTTTTAGTGATTTTAATATTTTTTTATAAAAAAAAAGGAAAAAAAATAAAAAGAATAAATTAACTTTTTGTAGTAAAATTTTGACTTTTTTTACTTATTTGTTAAGTTGCCCAACCACCCCAAAATAAAGAATAAATTACAATGACCTCTTCCTCTGTTGTATGAAAAAATTACAAACAATCCCATATTATTGACATGTGATTGCACCCTCGTAGATTCAACCTTGCATAAAAAACTAATCCACAAACTAACATTTTTTTCTTACACCATGCCATGTATTTAATTAAATACCTAATTTACCCTTTCAAAAAAAAATAATAATAAAAAAAAAACCCTTGACCAAAAACTAACATAAAGAAAATCTTATTTCTTCAATACAATCTGCCAATCACATACTGAAGACATGTAACAATCACATAATTATGTATATACATAAACATTATTGTATAATGTGAGCTTCCAATTTAGTGCGAGCAAGAAACTGAAGTTGTGAAATAGTCTGTTACATTCTAAAATTGTTCAAAAAGACACATTTTCACAATTCAATACAATTTTGCTTTCAATAACTGGAAGGGCATAAATGAAACCTTACCACAAATACCTACTCACCCCAAAAACAAATTCAGTTTCCTATTCTCAATCACACATTGTGTGTGCAGATGTGTGATCAAAGCCTAGTGTGTATATATATACATACACATCTTAAACAAAAAGAATGGAACCAAAAATAAAATAAAACTCTCACAATGATAGAAATTTCATTGAAGCGAGTCACTGGCTAACAAAACCTGTATCTCAGAAGGATAAACAAGTGTAAACAATGATGGAAATGCATTTCCAGATCCACGCAAAAAAAAAAAACAAAAAAACAAAAAAACAAAAAAAAAAAAAAACAAAAGAAAACTTCAAAAAAGGCGAATAAAAGAAAAACTTGATATGTCTTTGATGACAGCCTCAATGGATGTAGGTAATATATTTTCCTTTCGCAAGTGTCATAGCCACAACTTTGGATAATAACTCTTTATCAACCCATCGAGTATAACACAGCTTGCAAAGCACACCATATTGGCTTTCTAGGTGCTTCTAGAATGGATCCATCTGAATTGGCTTCGGTTTCTTCCAGTGTCACTTATGCAATCAGGCCACTGCAGACCAGAATCTTAACCTGCCTTCCCCCACACCACCTCCATAATCATGTGTCACCACCACCACCATGTGTCTCGTTCCTCAGTCATCTCTCTCTCTTTCTTTCATCTCCCTCTGACTTATCTCCTGTCTTCCTCCACACAATTCTAACTACCACCATTGCCTAACACCACCACTACTGCAACCCACTATGACCTTTCCCTCTCTCCCCCTCAATTCCAGCCACCACCGACACCCATCACCCAAACCACTGCCAGAATACCCCTCTTCCACAATTGGCTCATTTCGCTTTGGAATCGCCAAACAAAATAACACAACACAAACAAGTTAGCCATCACCTTGGGGCTCTTTGCTAATATATTTTTCTCTCTGCAGCAATAAACGTCTCAATAACCAGGTTAAATTCATTCAACAGTTCGAACTGTATCAATAGGAGTGGGCATTCAAAATTTTCATTTTAAGAGGGCAACTTACTGCCATTGGCTACAACTACCAGAAGATGGATATGCAAAATGACCAGATAATAAGGAAGCCACAATCATAAATTATATTTATGCAAGCACAATGAATGAGAATGGTTTGGATTTGCATCTATCGTACAACTTTTCTTGCCAACCCTCACACAGCCCCTTGGGGTGGAAAATTAAAGCTATTTGCAGCATTATGCAATCCTTCCATCTTTTCTTCCACGGGATGTTGGTGGAATGTTGGCGACAGGATGGTTGCCCCTACGCCCTACAATAGAGTGGCAGGGTTGGTTAGAAACATCACCTCATCCTCTAACCTTTAAGAAATAGAAAATAAAATACATCCAGCAACGTTTAACCTATTTTGAAGACAAAAAAATATCTCTAACTTCAATATAATCCATAATTATACAAGTGAAAAAGGAATGGAGAAAAGAAAAAGAATTTGGAGTGTCCTGGCAAAAGGTGGATTTAGTAAGTACCCCATGATGCGCCAGTGGCATTGCTGAATAAGCTATTTCCAGGTGAAAGAGGAGCCCCAGAGTTAAAGTTGGAAGGAGGTGGCTGAACCTTAACAGGATTCCATTCACTGCCACGAACAGTTGTGGATGATCTCCCATGATTGAACCGCTGAACAGATTGCTGCCCCAAACGACTTGGAGAACTTTGTGGCAAGTGGGGCATGAAATGTGAAGGCTTTGACATGGGACCGGCACACCCACCATGCAGATCATGACCTGAATGACGACTGCCTACTTCTCCAATTGAAAATGCTTGAATGGGTCCATTTGGCCTGAATTACATCAGATGTACAAATGGAACCTAGCTGAGCCTTCTTGATGTTGATAAAACGGCAAAATAATATATGAGAGAACACCAATTTCTAATGCAAACCCACGCACCAATTTCTAATGCAAACCCACCTGGGTAAGTGCACCAATTTTTAAATTGGGAGCTTTGAACAAATTAGATACAAAAGCCATTGAAAAGCTACTGAACATTGTCAATATTTTTGGTATTGGGATATACCTATTCTGCCCATTTCATCAAGATAAGCAATGATTAGCAAGGGGATTCAGGTAACTTTTCAGGTTCAATCAATTGTTGGAACAAGAGAAACAATCAACCTATTGATATTGGAAAACCCAAAGAAATCTTCATCAATGCATGCCCTGTTGAGGCTTGTCCAACAAGCTCAATCCCAATGGGCAAGCTTTCAATTTGCCCTAGTTCTCCATCTAACCCCCATCCCTGAAAGCCCTTTTGGAGGCCTAGTCCTATTTCTCAAGTCAAGTCTTAAGTTCATACTCAATTTTTCCTGCACTCAATATGGTTAAATAATCCTTATCATTTAAAATTGACACATATTACATACAATTGAATGAAATAAAAGCAAACATATTATTAAATAGTAAAACACATACACTAGCTTAAAGATTCAATACAAAAAAAAAGAAATATCGAATCAAATGTACTACAGGAAGAAAAAAAAAAAAAAAAATTACACTACTACCTTTGTGTTGATACACTAAAACTTGTGCTGGAGATGCGGTTAGATCTTCTAACACAGACTGATGATTCTGGGGGAACCAAAGCTTGGCCTAGTTGCAACCCCTTGGTGAACTCAGAGGCCATGCAACTCACATCTGAACCATCCTCTTGCAAAAGAAGTTCTTCACTGAAGCGGAAGTCAAAAAATATATCAAACAAAACAAATAAGCAGAAAGGTAGGCTCAGAAATTCAAGAAATAGAAATTAAATGTGGTAAGTGACAAAGATAAACTACCAAGGATTGACAGCCAAAAGTGAGAATATTGTCAGCTTTATTTATTTATTATTATTATTTTTTAACTATAATATAGTCACCATGAATTGTTAAGAAAAGAGCTTTCATATGAATGGTTTTAACAAACACCAATAGCCTTCATGACAGCGCCTGTAATTGTTTCCTACCTTGGGAAGAGCATGTTACAGCACATAAGTGTTTACCAGATGCAAGTTCCTTGAATTGATCCTTCCAAGGTTTTTCACTGGATAGTGATTAGAGGTCCACCTTTTCACCTCAGGACCCATTTAGTTTAAAGGTTGGGGTGTGTGTATGTGTGTGTGTGGCATTTGATCTAATCTTTGCAGATTTAACAAGTGGGTTTAGTCTGAATTTGTCCTTCCATGATCGAAAGATGCCTGTTGAGAGAAGACTATGGCTACCATCTTCAGCAGAGATGAAAACTCAATTTTGAGTAAGAACTAAGAGAACCAATGTTCAATAGATGCTAGTCTGTTGACAAGAAAAGGGAATTATAATTTCAAACCCATTTGTTATTGCTGAAAATATCATCCTTTGTGAGGTTGAGGAGGAATTGGGGTTCTTGAGATGTGTTACGCTTCTAAGCAGTCAGAAGCCATTGAAAGAATTTGGCTAAGAGTGACCTTATTCTGGTAGAGGGGTGGCCAATATGGATGACATGGTGATTATTGTGGTCCTATTCATCTAAATTTTGGTACAAGAATACATTACTTTTTAAGTTCTCCTTTTCTGTGCTAGACAAACAATTTGGGATGGAGTGAGTATGTTTTAGCACAAGTGCTGAACAAAAAAAAGGTAAAAAATAAATGAATTACTCATGTTCAAAAGAACACAAACATTAAGTATATCTTCTCTTACATTAATAACAACCATAAAATAATAAAGTACTTCAACAAAAAGTATCATTTACACCAATATTCATCTTAATCATGATACGAAAAATAACAATACCAACAATACCATGAATATGTCAATAATATCAAGAGCAATAATTATTATCAATAAACACCATGAAATGTCAACAACATTTTTACATTTTAACATTCATCTTGTATTAGCCATTAATATTCCAATGTATATGGATATATTGATGCATATACTAAAATGTTTAAAGAAACTTGACAGCTTGCTGATACATCAATATGGATTGCAAATTCCTTCTGACAAGATAAAGGATATGCATCTAAATCAAATAGAACAACAATTTATGTTTTCTTACCTATAGTTGGGATCCCAATCCCCGGGATCAGGCAGCGAGAGACTTGCCTCCGGCTTGTCATGAGCAGCTTCCATAGGCTGAGAGAGTTGCATATTTGGAAGTGTTAATGAACCTGGAATTTTATGAGCTGCAGAATAACCAGCAGTGATTCCATTGCATCCTCGTTGCTGCTTCCAACTTGGAGCATTTGAGTTAGACTGCAGATGCAACGGAGAACCACCAAGTACTGGAGAGTTTCCCTCAGCTTGACCAGAGCTGGTGCCATCAGTTACTTGCCCTTGCCAATGAGGAGATGATGAACTCTCCTGAGACTGCAAACCTCCAGAATACCCCCAACTTTTTCTTCTATTGAACTGGCTGACTGCAGCAACCTTTCCTAAAGGTGATCCATGACTGCCTCTTGCTGGGGAAGTTGGACCATAATGTCCTGGAGAACCAGCAGTAACCTGACTATAGGAGCTTGGAGGAGTAAATTGTGAAGGACTAGTACCAAGGGACATAGGCCGCAAAAATTTCCTTGCTGATGGACTGACACCAAGTCCATTCCCGGCTGGGAGTTGAATTATCCTCCGTCTTGCGTCAGGGCTACTTCCAAGTATTGACATGCCACCCTTCATCCCAGATGGACCAACCGGCGAATAATATGATGCAAGCATATTACTGTTATCTCCATAGCTCCCATAGCTGCTCCCAAGCCCAGTACCATCATTATAGCTACCGTGGCTGCCTAAACTGCCATAACTACCAGAATATGTATATGGAACCAATTGAAAATGTGGGCTGTTATGCAGGGCAACTCTGGTCCTGCCTGAAACCTACATCAATTGCAAATACAATGCAATGAGGTAGAACTCTAGCAAAATGATCATTTGTTTGGTAAGTGCACACACATGCACAAACACATTAACCAGCCGGCATTAAAAGCCCTGGCACCATCCCCTTTGGGGCTGGCAAAAGATACTGCTCAAGTTAGCAGCAGATGGTCCAGCAGAAATGATATTATTATATATATTACAAGTTCCAACAAACAAAAATAATGGCAAATTTAAGTAACAGACAGCTCACATTAGGAGAGAGACCAGCAGCAAACCAATGGCCTCCAGCTGGGTGATGATCCACTTTAACATTTTGAGACACAAGCTACATAAAAGATGACGGGGAAAAAAAAAAACAAAAAAGTGCAAGTTAGAAGATCCAACACCTTAACAACAAATGCAACAAGGACAAAGGAGGAGCAAATCATCAGGGAAAAACGATAAAGGAAAAGAAAGAAAGCAATTCTATGTAGTAGGGGAAAAATTGTAAAAGATATGTTAAAATAAAAAAAACAAAAAAAAAAAACCTATTGTTAAGAAGTTCACCTTTTCATCAGAAGTCTAACTAATGAAAAACTTATGAGCTATGCACAATTTTCAGAGTAACTGGGAGGAGGACAAAAACATGTACACAGAGATCAAATGCTCACAAGCACAACATATTTAAAGATCTGTCTTCTTGAAAACTAATTTCTTTCCCAAAACATAAATAAGTTATACAATGTATCATTCAATATACAGACGAATGTATGCTTAATTACCAAAAGCCAATAAAAATTCTAAACTTAAATGTAATATGTGTAATAATACCATGATAATCCAAAAACTTTCTTAAAGCCAAGACTGGCACACGAAAATACTTCCATGAATTGTAGCAAGCATCTATAGTAATACTCAAAAAAAAATCTCAAATCTTGCAAAATCACCTCCAAGAGAAGTTGCACTAGCAAATTCATTTAGTTTACAAAAAGATCTACTCACCATGCGAGGGGTCTCTAGAGGAGGTTTGTACGGGCATGTGAAAGGTTCTCCCGTCACAAAAGGGTGTTTTGAAGCCTGCAGCAACGGAGTTCAAACGTTAACGATCATTTAGTTTGAAATCAATAGAACACAAAAGCATAAAGTAAGATGGTAAACAGAAAAGCTTGTGCAGTTAACAACAGAACATGTAACTTGAGGAGGAGCTTCTTCGAATCTCTCTCTCTGGTTATAAAACACTACCTAACCAACCCCCCCCCCCAAACAAACCCCCCCCCCCAAAAAAAAATAATAAATAAATAAATAAAATTGATAAAGGTTGTCATATTGGTCAAATGTTTGCAGAACTGTCTTCAAGATTATGGTTCTACGAGTCATGTTTCATATAACTTACCTCCATTTTGTAATGGTCAATTATAACAATGTAAAAGAATTATATCGTTAGCATCTTCTTCTTTTTTTAAAGTTGGTTAAAATTAAAAAGAAGTTGGTAAAAATGCTCTGAGATTATAGGAAAGGAATATGTTCCCAAGAGAGAAAGAAGTTGGGCCACGCCGGCAGATTCTCTTTCTCAGCGGCCGGTTGTCCGAGTTTGAAGAGACAGCGGAGGGTGTGGATGGGTGGTGCAATTTGCCCATTTTTGAGAGAGGGGAGGGGCTTCGACAGGTGGTAGTGTTGAATGGGTCAGAAGCACGATGGATTGCGGCAAGAATGAAGGCAGCATCAATGGAACCAAGTAATCTAAAATTTATGGGTCGTCTCAGTAGGGGTAATCGAACCGTCGCAGTTTGGGTCCGTGGTGAGGCAGATGGTGGGTTATCGGTTCAGATAGTGGTGACGACAGGGACGCGACAAGAGCAAGTTTTTATACCCATGTCGGCATTTGGTGATGGTTGGGAGGGGGTGGCACTAGTCATAGAAGGATTTGGGTTAAAGGATGAAAAGGTGATGTGACCTGGTGGTTCAAAGAAGTTGGCGTCTACTTCTGGTCCAATGATATCGGCCAATCATCGTGAATCTGAAAGGGCTGTTCGTACAAGGGTGGAGATTGACTGGCTCTAGATGTTGGATAGATCGTTGGTGGGTAAGATGAGAGGGATGGGGGCCAAGGGTTTAAGCTTCGTGGCCATCTCGGTATGGGTTGGTCGCTAGTGGCATCTAGCAGGGAAGGTGGAGGTGCGACCGTTGAGGGACAAGGCTTTCTTGTTTGTCTTTCCAACCAAACACGAGGCAGAGGCGGTGATACGACGGCGCTAGACAGTGGAGGGCGAGATGCTGGAATAGTGGTCACCATTGACCCAATGTTTGTTGGAGTAGATGGTGAAGCCTAAGAAGAGTATTTGGATTCGGGTGGTTGGTCTGCCCATTCACCTCCGTGGGGAAGAGGTGTACCGCGCTATTGGCGACCGGAGCGGTGGCTTTGTGGAGGCGGATGAGTCATCAGTGGACCTGGGCCCTGTTCGGCTGTGTGTGAGATGTTCAGAGCATACACCGTTGCGAATCTCCATCCGATGGGGACTCTGGCAATTCTTGCTACCAGTGTGGGTGGAGGCAGACCCGACGGTGGAGCTGGTGTCACCGTCAGCCGAATGAGGGAGGATCTGGTTCGCACAAGGAAACAAGATATTTTCCACAATCAGATTGAAGTTTGACACGGATTTTCGGGTGAATGGGTATTTACGAAGATTCAGGAAGGAAAGAGGATCCATGGGTGGTCGGGGCAAACCCACCCAACAGCTGGGGGTTGGGGTGGGCAATCTAAGGGATTACAAGGGAGGGCAGTTGGGCCTCGCAAAGGCCCAAGCTACTAAGCAAGAAGACATGGGCCAAAAGGGGTGGGTTGTGGCTAAAATTAGAAGGAACCAAGTGTTGGGCCGTAGGAACATAGTAGGGGGAAACATAGGCCATGATTCAAGCCTAAGGGGGAGTGAACTGGGCCAACCTATTCGCCCAAGCCAATCCGGATCCCTCTTAGCTAGGTCAAACCGAAGCGACAGATGAATGTTATGGGAGGGAAGCTGCGAACCAAGACTTTGCGGGTCTGGTGGAATTAACAAACGAAGACAACCATTGCCGACGATTCGAGGCGAACTCAGGGCTGGAGCTGATGGTTCATCGTGACTCACCTGACAATGGATTTGGGTCGAGGTTGGTGTTGGATACTGTTGGGAATAGCTCTCGGTCGGAGAGCTTGGTTTCGGAAGATGGTGAGAGTCATCCAGAGATGGAGCTACTTGGAGGCAAGGCCTAGGCTGACAAAAGTGGGCAAGGGTACGATAATGATGAGACGACATTGGCCATGGTGATGCAACCCTTAGCGGTGGAGGATGGCTTCCCGGCGGAAGACCTGGGATAGAACCATCATGGGTTTGATGGTAATGATGGGCTGAATGGGGATGAGATGCCGTCGGCTGAGGCGGTGTCAAAGTGGGTGCTAGAATGCATCAGTGAAGTTAGCCATTATTTGGGGTTGTTGTTTTAAGGCCATGAAGAAGAGGCTTTAAGTTTGTTTGCGGCAATGGAGGCATCGTGGCGACAAGGGGCTCCTCGGAAGGGGATGGCCAAACCTTTTGCTACTCCTTGTAAAAAGAACAGGGAGCTAAGGAATCTGGAATGCACTATGAATTATGATCAGGGAGCGAAGAATGCAGGACGGGGTGTCAAAAGAAATCGAGGGGGTTGAAATGAAGTTAAAAATCCTATCTTGGAATGTGCAGGGTTTGAATGATGGAGATAAGGGTGTGGCGGTACGGGCAGTGCTACGGAATGCTAGAGCAGATGTGGTATGTTTACAGGAAACAAAGATAGAGAGTTTGGGGATGGAGTTGATTCGGGAAGTGTGGGGAGGAGATTTGTGGACTGGACATTTTTGCCGTCATCAGGTATGGGGAGTGAGATTCTTCTTTGCTGGAATAAGAGAGTGGTGGTGAGGGAGGATGAGGTTGGAGTTTTTCAGTGTCTTGTTTATTTCGATGTATGACGGACAATTTTTAGTGGGATTTTACTGGGATGTATGGCCCGGTGCAGTACTCAGAGCGGGGATTATTCTAGAGGAGTTGGAGAATGTTGCGTTTCAATGAGATGTACCATGATGTCTAGAGGGTGATTTCAATGTCGTCAGGTGGCCATCGGAGAAGGTGGGGAATACTCGGGTCTCGAGCTCAATGAGGGCCTTTTGCTCTTTTATAGATAATATGTAGTTGGTGGATTTACCGATCCAGGCGGGAAGCTTCACTAGATCGAATGGACAGAGTTTGTCTCACATTGATCGTTTTCTAGTTACTCGGGGATGGGAGGAGCATTTCTCGGGGTTTGTTTAGATTCATCTACCTTGGCCAGTGTCTGACCAATAGCCTATATTGCTTGATAGTGGGGTGAGGAGATTTGTTACGGTTCCATGCCATTTCGTTTTGAGAATATATGACTGCAAACAAAAGGCTTTCTGCAGTTAGTTCGTGGATGGTGGAGTCATCATGGGATTTATGGGTCTCCTAGTTGTGTGTTGGCCCACAAATTGAAAATGCTTAAAGGAGATTTGAAGAAGAGGAATAAGGATGTGTTTGGTCGGTTAGAGGGCCAAAAGGCGGTAGTGGTGTCTTTGCTCCAATCCTTGGATGAGCTAGAGGTGCAAGGGGGATTGTCTAGTGATGATGTTAGAAACGAGGCGGCTGGACAAGACTTTGTTCGTATATCCCGAATGAAGGAAGTGTGTTTTCAACAAAAATCTAGATGCTTGTGGTTAAAGGAGAGGGATCGGAATATGAAATTCTCTCATTGGATGGCGAATGCACATCGGCAGGTTAATCAGATTAGCAGGATGCGGGTTAAGGTTTTAAAAAGCGGTTGCAACCGTTAAATAACGCTGTTACGTAACGGTTGTAGTAATTACCACCACCCGTTACGACCATTATAGCGGTGTGACAGAAATTCACATGTGTAACGGTCATTTCGGTATTACGTAACGGCCATAGCGGTATTGTAATGGTTGTAACGGTCCGTTACACACCGTTACACCCTTTTATAATATTTTGAATAACTTCCTTTCCCAAAAAAAAAATAAATAAAAGCTTACAAAAAAAGAACAAATACTCAAATTATCCAAGCTCAATGAAAAAATAATATATAAATTTATTTTTTTTATAATTTTTTATAATTTTTATTTCATTACATGTAAAAATATAAAAACCGTAGTTGTATTTATTTTTATAATCATTTTATTTAATATTTAATTATAAATATTTTTTATTTTGTTACTGTAATGTATTGTCGAAAAAATGTCTTTCAAAAACTTTAAAATATTTTTTATTTATGGCACAATTTTTATTTTTATAATTATTTCATTCAATACTTAATTGTAAATAATTTTATTTAATTACCTGTAAAGTGTTGTCTAAACGAATGCCTCAAAAATAATTTCTGTTTATGACACAATTTTTATTTTTATAATCATTTCATTTAATAATTGTGAATATTTTTTTATTCAATTAGTTCTGGTATTAGTCAAAAAGAATTTGTTGACATTTAAAATCCATTATTCTTAAAGTCATTAACTATTGAAATAAAATGTAAAAAACTCCTTCTATAGTGATTTGAAAATATGAAATATATTAAATCATACTTAAAAATTAACAAAGTTTGATCAAAATCTATTTTAAACCCTAATAAATGTGATCCTAGAAAGAAAGAAAGAAAGAAAAATATATGTATCGATAAATTTTCTTCAAATTATGTGAAAAATAAAAATAAAAACGATTCCGGTTACCGCAACCGTTACGCTACAGCCTTTATACCCCGCAACTGCAACTGCAACCGCAACCGCATCACCACAACCGTTACGCCGACCACAACTGCTTTTTGAAACCTTGATGCGGGTAGATGGCCGAGAGCTGCGTACAAATGTGGAGATTAAGGAAGGGGTTGTGGGTTTCTATCAGTATCTGTTTCGGCCCCAAGACGGGGCATGGCGGCCTGGTTTGGGAGGGGTACATTTTGATAGGATATCGGGAGAGGACAAGGTGATGTTGGAGCGCGCCTTTACGGAGGAGGAGATGTTTGGGGCTTTGCTGGCCATGAGTGGT